GGAGCTGCACCTGCTGGAAAACGGGTCCAGTGTCCCTTAAATTGAACTGACAATATTATAGAACGTCACTTGCTGGGAAGCGGGCCCAGCGTCCCCTGTACCTCTTCACCCTCCATATAGTGGCGCCAGATTTCACTAATAAGCCCTGGTACTAAGAGGAGACTAATGCCCCTGATGATAGTGCTGCCCCAATAAGAATATTATCTTTGAACCCCTTATAAGAAAAACACCAGGATACCTGTTCAACTCACATGCCATCCCCTATTCCAAACCAGGAGGTGGGAACTATCACACTTCGGGGGGGGGGGAATGGGTCAGGAAATTTTGTAAGGGGTCTCAATGGGATTGAGGGATCAATCGAACACCAATCTTCAAAGGAGATCTTGTAATTCCTTCTGATGTCACCTTCCCCCTCCTCTTTAGCACCTTCCCATACCACCTTCCCTATTCTCCCCCCGTTGTCGGGCGCATCGGTCCGGCACCGCACATGGCAGCGCGGGACCCTCTCGGCCGCGTCACGTAGGAGTTGGACCAACCTCGTCACGAACACACAAATGGAGCTTCCTTAGGCCGCTCCGGCCGAGTGCGCCAGCCATATCTCTCACGAGTCCCTGCGACAGGATAGGGCTTACGCGAGGTACAACTTACCTCCACCTTACGGGAGTTGTCACCTCCCTTCGGTGGGCGTATCCCCGCCGAGCTACCAGTCCACAGTACGAAAGTTACTCAGTTGCAATTGTAGAGGTGGACCAGCCGAGGGCGTTTCTCGTTCGCTGCACCATAGGGGGTACGAGCGGTAATACGCCTATCAGACCCGCACGCGAACCGACATCCTGGGGGGGCTGAGGTCCCAAGCGCGGTCCGACGTCGGTCGACTAGGACGCATCTCACACACTACGCGCACACCACTCTACGAACACAAAGAAAGATAAAATGCACGCACACACGCATGCATATGGCAAAACAACGCACACAACTTAACGACCCGACAACGCTCCTAGCCCCTTAGTAGTCGTTTCATAACTCCTTGATGCGAAAAATCGGGTAAGCGTCGCGCGCAGGGCCTCATATAAAATAGTGTCGACGCTGGGTTATCTCATATCGACTCACAATGTAAGCATACGCAATTGGTCGCAATAATGGTGTACTATGTAGTACCCATGCTTGTGCGGCCCTCGTTAATCTCGAGGGTCGCGTTCGACACTCAGGTGTCGGCTGACACGCGCTTTAAAGGTTAATCTCTCGACGCCGGACAACCGTCAAGCGCGGTTGAAGACCACACACCCTCTTTTGCACCTTATGCAGAGCGGGTGGTACACAGGTCCGCACCTGTGGTGGCGGTCGTTTCTTGCGGCCCTGGGGACAAGTCTTACCCCAGGCCTGGGCGAAAGTCGAGGGGTTTGACTTTGACGGCTGCCACGGACTATAACGTCCAACTATGATAACTCAAAAAACAAAAGTAGGTCGAAGGTCTCCGCATCCCAAATTCATTGTTTGGGTATCCCCGTTTTCCCTTTTGTTATCGTCGCGGCCTACACTCTGCCAAACTCTCGCGCGATTGTGTAAGTCCTCTAGTCTCATAACCTTTAGACGCTAGGGCGGCGAAACGTCGAGCGCAGGATTCTAATATAAGTTGCGCGACTGCAAGCCAGACTCATGCCAACCGACGATGCCGGTCATACGTAGTAATCGCGACTCCGGCCTCGCGATATTGAATGGTTGAAGGAATATGTCGCGCGGGATTACCCCTCACAATATTGAACGGCTGAAGGACGCGCCGTTCGGCCCTTGCGACTTTTCTGCCCTTAGGGTCGAGTGACTCGGCGGGCAGTGCAAATAGGCTCTGCGCGAGGGAAAGTCCCTCCCCTGCAGAGCCTAGGGTTTGGGATGTCCTGGACAAGGACATGGAATCCCGCCCTATGACCAACGTCCAACTAAGAATGCCCCAAGACGCGATAAGGGAAAATGAAGGGTTTTCCCTATGCCCCTCAGTCTTAGCCTATGAGTATACCTTTTAGTACGGGTCCTCTTAGGCCTCGCGAACACCCACCATAAGTACACCCAAGCATACACACATAAGGGCAGTAGAGTTACGACGATCACTTCTCACAGGCACAGTGGGACTCCTCACAACCAGGTATATATATATATGTGTGATCGCAGGGCAGTCCAATCCAAAAATCCACGCCACCAAACATACCTATAATCATATTCAAGAATCAAACAGACGTCCACGTGCTACACAGAGTCAACCCCAACCATTTTCTACACTCATGCCCCTTGCTTTAGCCATGCAAGCCCCAATCCTCGATCCAGCCAACCAGAATTAAATACTCGGTACCTTTGTCAAATGACCATTCAATAAAAGTCCGGGCAAAACCCTTAACAAACAATAAAGTCACGAGGGCTAAAGCCTTTTAGGTCGAGTATGGAGAGTGAGTTGGAATTGAGTCGTAAACCGACGAATCGACAACCGACCTGTTATCAATGATAACAAAGGATGATCCTCGTAGGATCAAGCTGATTCTAATCCAGATCCTGAATCGAATGACTGAGAGGACCTGTGACACAAGACAGACCAATCCCCAAGCTAAATCTATAAGTCCTTGGACGATAATCACAATCCTACTCCAAAAATCTACTTAACTAACTAAGCCTAAGTCTACCCTTAAGCAATGCCCAAAGCAAGGGCAGACCTTGGCAGAGTCTCTCCTATTCAGGGTGGATCACCAAAATCGTCACCTGTCAGAATATAATCCACCTCCCTTAAACTAAGGAAATTTCGGCAGCTCTTCCCGAATGAAAAGTACCTTTTCAGAATTTATATAGGTTCAAATATAACAGCCAAAATAATCTATAACTCTGGGAAGTCAAATTTTGTCAAACTCCCTGAATTGGTATAAATTTGGGCAGCACTCCCTTTAGAAATGGAGACTTCCCAGATTTGTACCAAGTCAGGTTTGGACTCAGCCCACAACCTTGGGCCCAACTCATACAAAATTTAACTAACTTTTTAGCTTTGCAGAAATTTTGGCAGCACTCCCCCTAGAAAAGTGTTTTCCCAAAACCTATACAAACTAAGTTTAAAACTTGAGACTAACTTTGACTTCCCAAAGTCCAGTTTTGTCTAACTCCCTGAATTAGCAAAAATTTTGGCAGCACTCCCTTTAGAAAATGAGACTTTCCAAGTTTTTACTAAGTCAGATATAAAGAAAAGACAAGTTGAACTCTGACAAGTCAAAATTTGTCTGACTCCTTGAATCTGTAGAAATTTCGGCAGCGTTTCCCGTAGAGAAAGGAGCTTACCAAAATTTATACGAGTCCAAGTATAATAGTGAGTCTCAGAAACTGCAAGAATCAATCTAAGTAAAATAAAGTCAGCTCAGAAAATGCAGGAATTGAACTAGCTCCTATCGCTCTAGCACGTGGCGAGCCTCTAAAGCAACTGCCTATCAACCTAAAACCCAGACCAGGTAGAAATCTCACTCAGCCGCATGCAGGCCAAACCACAAGGGTAAGTACTCTCACCAACTCCAAGCTCTTTGGCAAACAATAGTTTATGCTCCCTCTGTGAATTATCCCTTCATACCCAACTTACATAAGGCATAGGTCAGGCCACCTGAACTTACAAAGCGCGCCCAACTTAGCCAGGCCTAAAGTCAGAATACCTAAACTTATAGAGCGTTCTGACTTGGCCATGTATACACAAACAGAGGGCACAATTACTTCTCTCTTTTTTGGGCATATGACTAGACCATTCCAGTCGCCCTGAACTATTTAGATACCCAAGTTATATATACTTCTCTGACTTAATCTTCAAGGTGGACACAGAACACTGCTCAGTCTGCCCAGGTTTACCTTCACTTATACCTCTTACTTATACTCTCTTCAATTGTGATAAGCTATAGCCAGACTACCTAAACTTATAGAGCGGTCTGACTAGCCTGTTCTTAGTAACACAGTAATACAATATAACCAAATTATAACCATGGGTTCCAACATGTGCGAGGCATTGGGTCAGACTACCTAAACTTATAGAGCAGTCTGATCCTTTGCCCGGTTCGGTCCTCTCTGATCCAGTCTGTGCGAGGCAGTAGGCCAGGTCACCTAAACTTATAGAGCGGCCTGCCCCTTTGCCAGAATTATTCCCTCAAAACAAAACAGGAGAAGAGCTGAACTACCTAAACTTATAGAGCGGTTCAGACCTCCTCGTTCAGAACCAAAGAAACTGAGAGAATTCCCAAATAAACAAGGCAACTCAGGGTACCTAAACTTATAGAGCGCCCTGAGCTCCTAAAAATCTAACACAGTCAAACCCTTACAAGTCAGAGCAGTCAGGTTACCTAAACTTTTAGAGCGTTCTGACTCTCTACGCAATTCACAGCACCGGGTCTCCCCAAACTTATGGGGACATCCCAGCCTCGAGAGCTTCAGGCTACCTAAACTTATAGAGCGGCCTGATGCTCCATACAACCCAAAGATAAACAAAGCGTTGGGCCTCCCCAAACTTATGGGGACTTCCCATCCTTAACGACACAATCAATCGGC